ATAACAATAGCTCTCTTTCTCTTTTCCTTTTTTTTTTTTTCTCTTTTTTCATTTTTTTTCCCTTTAGCTAATCATTCAACCATTCCCCCAAATGAGTAGTGACCTTCTAAATAGCAATTGACCAATTCAACTAAAATGAAAGTTCATAAGTTATTTTCTCAACTCTCCACTCACTCACAAAAGATGTGTGAGTATAAGAAATAGTGCACTTAAACTTAACAATTCTCTTGGCTATACATATTGAACATCCATCTAACCGCAAAGCTTAGCATTGTGTGCAAAAAACGTTTTTAGAAGTTACTCTTTAATAATCAAGATAGAGAAAGTGACTTAAATCAAGTAATTTTGAAATCATACCTAGGTAGAAAAGCAAAAATAATCATGCTTTGCAAACCCTGTCACACAAGAATTACCAAAGTAAAAGGAATAAGCAAAGTGTTAGTCTTTCTTTCTTTTTTCTTTTTCTTTTTCTTTTTTATCTCTTTTTTTTTTTTGAAAAGAATATATATGAAGAGTGTGCCCAAAATGTGCATGCAATACTACCACACCAACCTAAACGAGATAGAGTCCTCGCTGGCATAGAATAAAAAACAAAGGCAAACCTAAAAATGTAATAGCTAGGGAAATAAACCTAAAAAAGCTAATAGAAGAAAAACTAATAAAAGAAAAGCTATGAAAAAGAAAACAAAAACAAACAAAAGAAAAAAAATTGATATGATGGAAGGATAGAACTTGATTAAGTGTCATAGACAGGAGCCACAAGAATGATCTCCACATGTTGGTCTACTTGCTCCATATAATGTCTCAACCATTGTCCAATAATTTGGAAGACTATCCCAAGAATGCATGCTTCAATCCTTCAAAAGGTGGGGATAACTCTACACTTGGCATCTCCATTGAAAATGGCTTCAAATGTTTTCTATCATATAGCAACTCCTCAAAGCGTGGTTGTAAAATTTTTTGGTTTAAATACCATTTTGGTCCCTTAACTTTTCATTTTGGTACCAAAATTGTCCTTTAACTTTAAAAAATACTAAAATTATCCTTAAACTTTCATTTTCGATACCAAATCGGTCCTTTCGTCAGTTAAATGCACATGTGGCACATTAACTTGTTAGCAAATCAATTCTTTTTTTCTTAACTAATGATATGGAAAAAAAAAACATAGTTGGCCTTTTTTTTAATGAGTTGGCATTTTTATTTAATTTAAAAATAATAATTCTTTTTTTTTTCACCCACGTTAGATTTATTCTTCCTCTTTCATTTTCTCTCTCATTTACCTCTCCTTTTCCCTTAACTCTGCAAACCCAGGCTGGGTTTTCTCAAATGGTGGGGAAGCAAGTGACGATCGTTGCTGTTGACAATAGCGAGCATAGTGCCTACGTGCTGGAGTGGACGCTCGAACACTTCTTCATTCCTCTAGGTGACAGAGCCTTGTTCAAGTTTGTAGCCGGTTCCTCTACCGACTTAGATGCAGTAGTACCAAGTAGCCCAGGGCGCAATAGGTACCAGTGAGATCCGGTCCTCGTGGACTGGGGACTTGCAGCGGTGGATGGATGAAATTATCTTACAGCATCTTTGCTCATACTGGAAAGGTAATATGATAGCTGATTGATTGATTTGTCTCTCTCATATCACCAATTTGGTGTTGTTTCTTAGCAGCACTACTGGTTTCTTTTAGGTGCTTTTCATGCCAAACCTGTTGTTACTATTGCCGTCGACCTTCTTCTTCTTCTTCTCTCAAACCCAGATCTAGGTTTCTCTCAAACCCAAATTGGCCTGAGAAGATGATAGGTCTAAACAAACAAATTGATTTGCATCTTAAAGGACAATAAAGCAGAGGCAAAGCAACATTGGGAACATCTGTGACTTGTGTCATCAAATCTAACTGGCAGTGAAAGTCGTTGAAAATGGAGACCGAGGCACCTCTTGTTGACACCACCTCCACAATTGCCTCCTCTCAAGAGAGATGATATCGTTCAATCTTTGACCTTTTAGATGACTTCTTCGACTCATGTTGCTTATTCTCTCCATTTCTCCCAACTTCAGTGTTTGGGCTTGTTAACTAGCGGAGAATAAGGTATGTTTTAGCTCTAATTTGTATTCGGTGTTTTTGATTAACTTTTGGATCTCTTTGTATTGATTTGAACGAATTTTAGTTGAGTTAGAGCATGTTTATTGGAGATATTGCGGTGAGTTTACTGGGTTTGGTACGTCGAGTACAGTGATTTATTTTTGATTTCTTATTTGGATTTGGAGATGTGAGATAATTATTGAAGTTACGGAGATATTTTATGTGTTTCTCGTGATTGCTTCTCAATGTTTGGAATGGGGACTACTATTCACTGATTGTAAATTTGGGGGAAATTGAAACCCTAGAATTTTTCTTTTGAGTTTTGGGGCATTACTTTACCATAGATGAGTTTGGATGGCTTTGTCGCTTATATTTAATATAATGAAATGATTTGTATTGCTTTTTTTATTATCAGCAATTTCATCATATTGTTAATTTACGTGATGAAACCCAGATTTGGGTTTGAGAAAGGAAGAAGGGAGAAGAGAGAAAGAGAATAAGAAGAAAGTTTGAAAGGGAACCTAGATTTGGGTTTGTAGAGGTAACGAAAAAGGACAGGTAAATGAGAGAGGAAGTGAAGGAGGAAGAAGAAATGACGTGGATGAAAAAAAAAAGATACTATTTTTAAATTAAATAACAATGCCAACTCATAAAAAAAAAGGCCAACTATGTTTTTTTTTCCATGTTAAGAAAGAATTGATTTGCTGGCAAGTTAATGTGCCACATGTGCATTTAATTGACGGAAGGACCGATTTGGTATCGAAAATGAAAGTTTAAGGATAATTTTAATACTTTTTAAAGTTGAAGGACAATTTTGGTGCTAAAGTGAAAAGTTGAGGGACCAAAATGGTATTTAAACCAAAATTTTTTTGTGCTTATCCTGCATAACATTAGAAATAGAAGAAACATTAGAATGATCATTAATAGGATAGTTCAAAAAGTCAACATCCAAATCAGAGTCACCGAGGAGGTATTCTAAAGATTCAAAAATTTCCCTTTCATATACTTTCTCAACCAGTGAATCTATCATGTAGATTTGATAACACTTATGATCATCATGTAGTTGCTTCCCAACATGAAAAATATTCACCTCAAAAGTCATATTTCCAAATGAAAGTTTCATCAAACCATTCCTACAATTAATGAGAGCATTAGCAGTAGCAAGAAATAGTCTTTCTAAAATAAGTGGAATCTTTGACTCATTGTTAACTTCAGATTGAGTATCTAAAACAAGAAAATCAACAGAATAATAAAATTTATCAATTTAAAGCAAAACATCTTCTACTATCCCTCTTGGTTTCCTACAAGAACGATAAGCCAATTGTAACACCACATATGTGCGTTTTATCTCTCCAAGACCTAATTGCAAATAAACTGAAAGTGGTGGCCTGCCCTTACACTACACAAAAACCCGACATGGACCAGAAAATTGGGGAAGCAAAAGCAAGATCTGGGTTTTGATCATCATTTTGAGAACCATAAACACATAAATCTCTAAATTAGACTTGGGAGGAACCAAAAGAACTAAATCTCACCTTATTTCTAGCAAGAAGAAAATGGGCACAGATTAGGGCTCGTCAAAGCAAAATTCTGGTGAAGGCTGAGAGGAAATCACGTAGAAGGCAAAGAGAAAAAAAAATGGAAATCAACCTTAGCCCCTTTATCACCAGATTTTCTCTTTTAACCCCCTTTAGGTTTGTGAATTTTAGTTATTAGGCTCAGTAATAATAATTTCTCCTACATAAGTCCCTAACTTAAATTTAAATTCACTTGTACTAGTGTATTCATGTGTATATATATACATATCTAAAATTTCAGAAATTTTGGGATATTACAAAGAGGGTAGAGAAAACTATATCAAGCTATAGGGTTCAGGAGATTTTTTTTTTTCTTCTCTTTTCTTTTCTTTTCTTGGAACAACATAAATTGAGTGGTGTATCTCATTCTGATTTGTAGGACATATCACATGTAATCTTAAGTTACGTGGTCTTTCTTTTGGCTCAGACTTGAACTTTAAGATTGACTTAAAAGATGACATTTATTCTTTAGTAAATCCAACCTTAAAGTTATAATTTAAAATTTTGGAAATAAAATTGTTTAAGACAAAAAATAAGACATATGTTGAATTTTATTTTATTTTTTATAAACCTAGATTACTCAGCTATTTAAATTACAAATGTTTGAATTCCTAAAATTGAGCCCAAATCAATATTTTAGAATGCATCAATTGTATAATCCACTTGTTGATAAGAAATGAAATTAAAGAGAGAGCGAACGACTAAAAGTGGATATGCATGATTGAGAAATTCTTTTTCAATTTTTTCATTGGTGAGGCATGATAAAGTGGTAGGTTTAGATCGTGGTGCGAAGGGAAGGAATTTCCTTGGAAGTTGTTAGGTGGGAGTTCTTAACACGAATATGGTGAAAAAAACATGACAATCTTTTTGGTAGGTATCTTCTTGGAAGTTGTTAGGTGGGAGCTCTTAACACGAATATTTTCCTTGGACACGCCACTGTCTAAGCCTTAACTATTTCTCTTCCCCCCCGCTCCCCCACTTTTTTTGCCTTCGACCACACTAGAAATTCCTGGGCAATGAGCTTTTACATAATTCTTTAACTCAGTTATTGGGAGTAAAAGTAGTTCCCACCAATTATTCCATAACCTTTAATATTTTTATATATAATTAACCAGTTAATTCTTCAATTATATGCCTCATTCGCCACTATTTATAACCCCACCCCAGTCTTTTCTTCATTTATATCCCATCTCATTACTATCCACTATGAAAGTCTCTACTTCCAAATTCTTAGGCTTCCTAGTCTTTTTCTTCTTCTACCAATGCCAAGCGAGTCCACATTACAAGTTCGTCGTAAGTACTTATTCCGATTTTTTTTAATATAAAACAACAGTATGCCATTGTCTTTATCTTAAATTGTTTTTGTAGGTGAAGGAAGTTCCATATACGAGACTATGCAGCACGAAGAAAATACTTACCGTAAATGGCCAATTTCCAGGTCCTACTTTATATGTTAATAAAGGAGACACCATCGTTGTCGATGTTTACAACAGAGGAAACTATAACATCACCATTCATTGGTATTAATTATCTCAAACCATTTCATCACTACTTAAATATTGTAAAACTGAAAGAAGGTTAGATTAATGCTACTCCTAAATATTAATTGGTAGCATATTTTGGCAGGCATGGAGTGCAACAGCCAAGAAATCCATGGTCTGATGGTCCGGAATACATCACTCAGTGTCCTATTCAACC